TGAAATAGAACGAATGAATGACTCCAGAACATTAGGCTTGAGACAAAAATATGCTCAAGACTTTACAAAATGGATACCCCAACAACGATCAATGAATATTGGGGATACCCCAATCACACAATCATTTCTAATTCCAGTGTCAATGCAGACAGATTTAAATAATTTATAGAAAGTCTTTTGGAGGAAATCAATCCAGAGTTGGAAAATCGTCTTGATAATCGATAACGCTCAAATACACAAGCGACATGACATAAAAAATTTGATCGAATCCAAAAGATGCAACCTTAAATTCTTACCGCCTTATTCTCCAATGGTAAACCCAATCGAAAAAGCATTTTTAAAAATAAAATTATGTACAAGAGCTGAACTGTGTGACGTTTCAATGGAACATAACATTGTTGATGTAATCGAGCGAAGTATTCAACAGCTTACTCGGCAAGATTGTTCTAACTACGTTATGGACATGCAAGTCGGGAACCTCTTCATTAAGATAAGCAGTTACCTTGTCAAAAATGACAAGAAATACCCCAGTTTGTATTACTATTTTTTTAGTTTTATTAAGTAAAGATATAAAATAAAATCACACCGAATTAGAGAATATTTATGATAATTACATAGCCATACAACTATAGTTGTTAATATTCTTTGATTTAATTTTCAAATATTGATTTAGAATTACTGGAAATATTATATTTCCTTGGATAAGAATAAAGGTTTCATTTAATTTGGAAAAAGTTTCATTCTATTTGTAAAAGGTTTCATTTCAATTGGAAAAGGTTTCATTTAATTTGGAAAAGGTTTCATTTAATTTGGAAAAGGTTTCATTTAATTTGGAAAAGGTTTCATTTAATTTGGAAAAGGTTTCATTTAATTTGGAAAATGGAAAAGGTTTCATTTAATTTGGAAAAGGGTTCATTTAATTTGTAAAAGGTTTCATTTAATGTGGAAATGCTAAACTTACCGTGTGTTCCAGAACATATCCGAATATTTGGGCATTGATTCCAAACAAATGTTTACCCAACTTCTTATCAGCCATATTCTGGATGTCAATTCCACGTGAATTTACTCGCTCTTCCCCTTCGTCTTATTCTGAATAACATTTTTGTGTGATTTTTTTCGCATTCTCGCTTTTGCCTTATTCTGAATAAAGTTCGAAAGCGAAAAAATCCGCTTTGGAAAAATTAGGTATTCTGGATCACAGGGAGTAGGAGAATGAGATGAAATTTTGTGCGAAATTTTTCGCTAATAAATTCAAAGTGAGTTGACTACAAAAACATAAGTTATAAATATTTTTATGAAAAATATTAACACAATACTTATTCTATGACGATTTAGAATATTTTAAATGATAATAAGCAAATATTTATCTGGAAAACAGCAAATAAAATGCCTTTGGAAATCCTATTGATAATGATGCATGCTGAACCAAATATTGCCAAGGTATGTATAAAGGTAATAATGAATATTTAAGTTGAGTTTGATGCATTTGGAAGGCGAAAAACAGACATTTTGGGTGAGGATCTGTCTCTCAAGAATAAAATTATAGAAAAACCAAATTTGCCTAATAAGAAGCTTAACAGTGAAAACTTAAATACAAATTATGAAACAACACAAAAAAACTAAAAAAAATATTTTTTTTCAAAATTATCGTTTGCTTTATTTGAAGGAAGAAATAAATGAGTAGGTCACTTTAAGAATTTGGAGATATAAAATATCGAAATTAAATTAAAAGGCACACAATTATGTGCCTTTTTTTTGCCATCATAAAAAATGTTCTTTTATTGTAATCTATTGTAGTTGTTGTACCAAATTGCATCAAAATAATGAACAGCTGTTTCACATGTCATATTGTAGGTTGCCATATTTTCAAACTTTAATTAATTTTCGTTTAATTACAAAGCATTTATAAAGCGGATTCTTGGTATTTCACATTTGTGTTGTTATAAAGTTTAAACAACAATAACAAGTAACAATTTTTAAAAAAATAATCAATAAATAAAATATTGAAAAATATTACACAATTAAAATACAATGGGGCAACATACATTGCAACTTAAATTACAATATGGCAACACACATTGCAACGTAAAATATAATATGGCAACACGTATCTTTTTTCAACCACCATTTTCGAAAACTCGAATCCGCATCCGCGAGATATCTCCCAGCGAATATCCAGAATAAGGCTGTATATATTTTGTGCCGAAAACCTACACTTGTTCGATTGACATGAAATTTCGCTGTTCTTTAAAATCGTTAAATAAAATTTCCAACCCCCAAATGTTTTGTTGCACAGTGTAATTAAAAACAAAATGCAATGTTTGTTATTATTTGTTTGTGTATTCTTTATTTAATTGTTTATTATTATTTCTTTTTTTCGTTCGTTCATTCATTCACTGTTTTATATTGCAACTAAGTTTTCATGTATATCATTATGCATTCTTGTTTTTTTTTCTGTATGTATATAAGTTTATTAACATAATTTGTAATTGTTTATATTTATACGTTTGTTTTTATTATTATTATTTAAATATATTTATATGCATTGTTTTCATTATTACTATTGTATATATAAATATTAACAAACAGATAGCATTTGTTAAATATGTATCTGCATTGAGAAACTTATGTCATTATTTTGGGGGGGGTTTGTGAGTACTTACAGACATTTGTAATGATGTAGGTGTGAATGACTTGAAAAGGGACGAGCAATGATAAAATAATTTATATTTAACCAATTTTGAATTAAAAATAATACTTTTTTTAAAAATATATTTTGAATTTTTGTTTTTGTTAGTTATGTTATTATCAAATAAATTATCATTTAAATTTCTTCTTCAGAAGGACCAAATACAGTTGAAATGTCACGGTATCTCGAAAAGAATATGGAAAACCAAATTTCACAAAAATAAACCGTTTACGAAACAACTCTAAATTTTAGGATAATTAATCGAAATTATTATTTAATATTATCAAGGAAGATTTTCTATTTCGAAAACCATTTTGATGCCAATATGCCAGTTTAAACACCTCCAGCACATTTTAAAGAAATATTTATAACAAGAGTAGCTTGCCTTTGTGCGGTATGGCTTGAAAAATCGATGACGAACTTTATTCGCCTTAGTGCCGGGATGGGGGAAAATTGTGAAACGAAAAAGTGTATAAAGGATAACGTCGACATCCAGCCTTTTTCAAGATATTTCACCAAATGGATATGAATATTGGCCATGAAAATGTGTTTTTTTTTAACAGCTGAATATAACCTGAATATAAGGACATCAAAAAACTATATGAACTGCCTTTCCTGGTTATCGATAATATTATGTTTACCTCCATAATTATTTTTTTCGAATCAATAAAAAATAAAAATAATATAATAGGAATATGGATGTAAGGGTGGAGTTTTGTGCCATATCTTGATGTGAGTATATATTGGTGTTATTAGAACTATTGTATCCATTGCCATTTTTCTGTGTGCGGTTTTATCCAATTTTTCATTCGAGATTTTATCATTAAATTTTATTTACTTACACTTTTCATATATTTCCCCCCACGGTGATTTTTTTTTTTAAAAATTTCCTTTGTTACTTTCCCCATTTAGTCTTTTTTCGGGTTTTCTGTTTAATGCCTAAACACTTTTTGTGGTTTATAAATATTATACAAATTTTTTGTTTTATTTTGTTTATTTTGCAACAGCTTTTTTTATTATTATTTAATTTATTTATGGGGTAATATTTGCTTTTTCATTTTTTAAGCTTACATTATTATTTAAACTATATTTAATTTATTGTTAGTTTTATTTTGCAAATAATTCTGATTTATTTCATTAATACTACATTTTACAAAAAAAAAAAAATATATTTGTTTATTCATAATGCATAATCATAATAATAAATTTCTCAATTTTTTTTTATTTCATACTATTTACAGATTTTACAGCCGACTTATGTTTACATTATAAACTCTAATATTTATATAAATGTCTGCATAAAATATTTTCTCGTTACACTTGAAAAAACAAATTAGATATTAGTTAGGGATTTTCAGGGTTCTTCTATATATGTATATATATGTAAAATTGTATGTATATATAATAAAACATAATTTGTGCTTTAGTTTTTTTTTCGTTTGTTTTAAATAAATAAAATAATGCATTTATGCCATTGTTTGTTTGTTTTTAATGATTACTTTAGAAATTATCATACAGGAACAAATTGGTTGTATATATATATGTGTATATTAATGTATTGTGTATATATCTGTGGAGATATTGTTTTTTTTCTTAGGAATTGTTAACTAAACAAAAACTGAACTTAAAACATAAAAAACAACCTATGAATTATGTAAAAAAAATTACACTCAATAAAATTCTAGATATCTAGAATTAATTGCCTTCACTTTGATATGTGACCTTTAGCCAGATTTGGGAGAAATTTAAATTTAGATCAATTTATGTCCATAAATTCTGGTTAGGTGTCAATTATTTACAATTTAATACATTTGCTCTCCCGCAACTCCTTACATTTCAATCAACGATAAATTATCAAAAGAAAAAATTAACGGAAAAATAAAACTGTATTTTCCTTTGTAAATTACTCTATAAGCTCTGTTTGCATAAGTGTTTTTCCTTAGTTTCTCAAATTTGTTGTTGACTGTCTCTCCATGACTGCAGTTTCTCTCTTGAAGCGTTTCAGGGTTTCCATTGTTTTCAAACAACAGACAGGGTTGGGCGTCTGCCCTTTCCTTTTTATGATTTTCTTTTTGTTGTTTTTTTTTATTATTTATCTTTCTCACATCACATTTTTAATTATTGTCCAAAATATTTCTGAAATATATACTTTTTTCATTGTGGTATTTATGTGTCTCTTGTTTAGGGTCTCAATGTCAGCTTGGGTGTCTGCTGCTGTAAATGTTGCTCACGAAACGCAATCAATGAACGAAACGCCGAGAGAGGCGACGTTGTTGTTGTAACAATATTACTATTATTTGGCTTGCCATTGACCAAATTTATCATGGAGGTGGAATTTGGTATAGTGGAAGTGGGTGTGGGCGATTCTGAACGTGATTGTCATGGTTTACCTGGTGATAATTTATCCGAATTTGAGGAAGAGCTGGATGAATTGGAATTGTGGGAAATGGGTCCAATATTATGATGTGAACTAGGCTGGCTGGAAGGTGGAGTTTGTACGACATCACATCCCATGGAGGATGTGGTACTTGAACCCGATGGCGAGGCTCCTGATGGTGGCACTTGATGGGCAGGGTTGTGGGGATGGCCGGTGGTTAAACTTAGCGGATTGAAGTGGGGTCCACCGGCTCCAGTTACGGCAGCCTTCCACAGCAATGGATTCATGCCCAAACCGTTGTGGGCAGCCAAACTGGCTCCAAATGTTCTTTGGTGTTCTAGAAATTCTTGTGAGGGTGCTCCCAAATGAGCGGCGGCTGCTGCGGCTGGTCCATAGAAGCCACGATACAAATCTGGCCTCACATAGGGCGAGTAATTTGGTATTCTCGCCGCCAGGGGTGATAGAATTTTACCCGGACTAGGATGTTGGCCAGGATGGCCGTAGAAAGCTGGATGTGTGGGTGGTAGATCGCTACCGGGTGGACTATCCTTGTTACCGCCCTCCTTATTGCTGGCATCCTTTGAGGCCATATCGGCCAAAGACCAAATACGTGGCTTGGCCGCAAGACTAGCTGTTGTGCTGGCAGCTCCTGCAGCTGTTGCATGCAATGCGTTTTGTTGGGCCTGTTGGTGTTGTTGTATAAGCTGTTGATGATGATGGTAGGCAGCAATGTCCGGCGGTGAACCAGTTGGTGGTCGGAAATGGTGTAAGGCGGCGGGATGGAAAAGGGGATGACCACCACCTGGCATCATGCCAGGGCGATCGTATAAATCGGGTGATCCATTGGGAGACCCGGGTCGTGAACCGGACCATTCGCTGTTGTTACCCTCACCGGGCATGCGATGGTCTTTGTCCTCGTTCGAACCCAAACCAGAGTCTTTGGCATCTAAAATGAGAGGAAAGCATAACGAGAAGGGGGAAATTAATAATTTGATAAAAAAAGAGTACAACATAAAAAATAAAAAGGCCACCTTTTTATTAATAAAAAACAAGACAGTTTTTTTTAGGATGAAAAGTAGGGAAATTATTAATTATGTGATAACGAAAGCACAAAATAAAAAAATATATATTTAAAAATATGCCGTTATCAAACTTTCTTTGTTATTTAAATTCTCAAATCTTTAATACTTTAAAACTGTGTAAGTGCCAAATGCGATACATATTTTTTTTTAATTTAATTAATTAGTCCATATTTTTATTTGTTGTCTAATGGCCGTGGAACATACTTTAATAATTTGAGCAGTATTTAATATAAAGAAAAGATCTTAAACTTACCTAATACATCATTATCATCTGTACTTTTATGATCATCATCATCCAAATTGCAATCATCGTCATCGACACGATTGCGTGGCTCCCATGTCATTTTGTTTTCTTTCTTCAGTCTTCGGCGGGCATTGGCGAACCATGTCGACACTTGGGTCAATGTCATTTTCGTTATAATAGCCAACATAATTTTCTCACCCTTTGTGGGATAAGGATTCTTTTTGTGTTCATTTAACCAGGCTTTCAGCGTTGAGGTGGTTTCACGGGTGGCATTTTTGCGTCGGGCGCCATTCAAATCCATGCCATAACTGAAATGATAAAAATAAGTTAAGGAAATTAATATTTTGGAAATAAAAAATAATTGTATATAAATATAAGAAAATAATGTTGGATATTTCAAATATACAAATAATTAAAAACTATTTTTATTTTATAAAAATAAATAAATATATATATATATATATATATATATTTTAAATGCATCTAATGTTAAGCAATATTTGGCATTCTAAAAAAGAGCGTAATTTTTTATTTTTTAAACATTTTTTGTGATTCATTTTTTGTTTCTTTTTGATCGGTCATTAACGCCACGTGTTTTGTAATATTTGTTGTTTTAACACAATTATAGGTTGTTGCAAATTTTAATTGCCTACCATTAAAACATGTTATGGCAACATTATTTAATTTTTTTCGTTTATATACATATGTACACATGTATGGGTGCATGTACTGTATTCTCAGTATCATCGTCATCATTCAATCCCATAAAGCTTTAATTTATGTTATTGTTTTCAGCATATTGCCCTGAATTGTTGTTGCCGTTGTTATTGTTTTGCTGGGTTAACACATGCTTGTATGTTTGGTGGTCATTTTTATAGAGCAATTATGTGGCTTTTGGTTTGATAGCCAACAGGCAGGCGGCTTCCAGATATGCCCAAAACAATATGGGCATTCTTAGTGCGCTGCCGAGGTGGGGTATGGGTGTTGGTATGGTGGGCGCAATAGTCACTCGGTTATGTTGCAAAATGGATCAGCAATTGAACACTCCACAACATATCCACAATTGGCTATTGTTACACACACACACACCAAGAACATGAAAAACAGCAACAACCCAAAATAACAAGGGTAAGTAGATACCGACACAAGCAAAAAAAAATAAACAACACCACCAAAAAATTTGCAATTTTTCGCCAAAAAGAAACAAAAACATAAATGGACATATGCAAATAATTGCTTAAAACAAAATTCTCAAAGGAAGTTTATCGGAAGGGAGGGATTACCAGGGCTGTCTGCTTTTATGTGAAAGGCCTTAAAATTGGTTTAAGCCAAAATGAAAAAGAAAAATAATAATAAACACCTGCAACTTCTTCTTCCCTAGTGATTATGATTTTGATTATGACTCAACTCCAATTGAATTTCTTTGCTGTTGCATTATTAATGGTGTTGTTGTTGTTGGACATTTTACCGTTTGGCTGTCTGTTTGTCTGCAGGTCTGGCTATTTTGTCCCAGCCTACGTGACGGGATGTTTTAAATTGTTTAATTGCCTTCTTAAGCTGGGAAATTGAATAAACGTTTTCATATTTACATTCAATTTTCTCAAACGGTGTCTCGCCTGGCTTAGGCTAAACAACAACAACAATATCAACAACAAATTATTACTGTTATTTAAAATGCAATTGCCAGCAAAGGAAGTAAGTGTCGTTGATCATAAGTTTTTCCCCTCGCATTTACCTCTTTTGTCATCAATTAAACAGCAAAATCGATCTTAGTAAAAAGTAGATAAAACATATTGTCACATCGACAGAGGATGCCTAAGTGGTCGAACGGATAAAAAATTGCATGTTTTGCAAAAGTGTTAATGCACTGTTTTATTGTCAACATTGTAGCAATGGTAATTGGTAACAATTATTATTATTATTATTTTTTTTTAATTTATGGTTCACAAAAAAATCTGAAATAGTATTTTTATGAAATAGGAAACCGTTTTTTAATATGAATACACATTTTAAATTCGATTTTCTTTCATTTAATTTTCAATTTTATATAATAATTCTAAAATAGTATTTTTGTGAGATTAGAAAACCGTTTGTTTTTTTTTTATTTTTTAAATTAAATTCTTTTGCTCTTTTATAAATTTAATTTTCCATTTTATATTTTTAAATAGTATAGAAGAAAACAGTAGCCAATTAATATGTTTCAGATATACGCCCAAATGAAATTAACTATCATCGATTAAAATTCATTGCCCATCTAATATTAATTGTTTTCAATTATTTGGCCTTGGACTTCCGTTATTGAATTTTTAATTTTATTATCATTTGTATGTATTTTTTTTTAATTTTCTCACAATATTTTCTCTCCGTTACTGATCATAAATATACCAATTCGTATTTATTTTCATTCATTCAATTTTCACTTCAAATGAATGAAATTCAACACGAACTATCTCTAATATGAGTTTAGAATATGAAATTAGTTTTGAATTTCTAAAGGGCAATAGAAAAAAAAAAAACAAATATATGTATGTGCATTTGGTTTTATGACTATAAACATAGATTGCAATGGGCGCCTAATGCAAGAACATTGTGCAAGTCGTGTTGAGACTTCAACAAAGAGTTTTGAAATTAAAAAAAAAAGTTAGAAATTTTTTACACTCAAAAGAGAAGAGAAAGTTTGGTAAGTTTGGAGAGAAAATATTAAGAAAAAATATATTTTTTTTAATTTCAAGTCAAAATTCTAATTAAAAAATACATAATTTTTTTATAAAAATATAGTAAATTTAAAATCAATTTTTTCCTTTTGGAAATCTTTCAATACTTTACACAAAACATATTAAATTGGGCGCCACTGCTCTACATTTCTTTCTTGGCTACAAAAGAAAGGCCCAATTTGTATGGAATACAGTCGAAATCATTTATAGCGAAGATCAAGGGGCTGGTGAAATTGCTTGCTAAAAAGGCTTTGTTGTATAAGCAAACTTTCTTAAAGGCAATACAAATTACTTTGAACTTTGGAATATTTTCTATATTTTATCGTTGCAACAATTTTACAAGATTTTTTGTTAGCATTATTTCTCAAAAAAAAATGCTCTTCTGAATTATTTATCATCAGAACTTCGTACTTCATTTTATACCCTAATTACATTTGCTCTCTCCTTTTTTACTAAGGGTGAAATTTCCTTTCAATAATTTATCATTTTTTGGGGATTACACTTGTTCTCCTTAACATGAAACTTGTTGTTACCATTAAAAGCAAAGTGATGTATTGTTAATTGGAATAAAAATCACTAGCCATGAACTTCAAAAACCACCCCAAAAATAATACACGATGTATAACATATATAAATTCTAATAAAACTATTTGTCATCATTTGATACAGAAACCAAAACAAAACAACGCACAGGATAAAATAGAAAGAAATTTGAAAACAAAAACAATAATATTCCAAATTTTCTTTCATAGTCTTAATATTATAAATAAATTTAAATTGAATCTGGATTGTTTTATTTTTACACTTACCTATTAAATGGATAACCAAAGGCTGCATCATAAGGATGATATACTGAGGGATAGGGCCATGGTGCACCACCGGCTACTAAATTTTCTTTTAAATCCAAACCACCCTAAAAATAAAAAAAAAAAAAATAATTAATATATGTTAAAAATATAAATAATGCATTAAAAAATATAAATTAAAAAATACTGGAATTGATATGCACTGTGAAATTGGCGCCCGAATTTTATTATTTATTTATTTCATTTTTTTTTTTCTTTTTTTTTGTGAAAAAATATACATTTGTGAAATTGCCGTTTTATTAATATTATTTTTTTCCCCAGACATAGATGCTGATGTTTTTTTTTGGGAATTTCTGAAATGTTATCACCTTGAACTTAAATTATAAAAAAATCATGTTAAACAAATAATTAAATGAAAAGAACAACATTGTAAGATGTTATTAATTTTTTATGGCTTGCCGGCGACAGACAGCGGAATCTTAGCCAGAACAATTAAACATTATTTTTTGATAATAATAAAAAAAAAATGTTGTATATAAATATTTTTTTTTTTATTCATGAGATAGATGCTGATGATGCTCATAAATTTTAAAACGTAATTATGAACAGCAACAACAACTACAACAAAAAAACAAATAAAATCAAGAAAATATTTTTTGCGTATTGAGTTATTATTAATTATATAAATACAATAGTATTTTGTTTTACTAGCAAGAAGTGTGAACAAAAAAAAATATATAACACACAATTCATGATAAGACTGACGGACACTGGATTCCGTCGTTCCAGTACAAATCAATTCAAAGAAATTCACGCAAAACAAAAGATTAATACGACTAATTTTTTAGTACATAATATTTATTTTTTTTTAACAAGATAATATTGTGATGATGCCTCACGTTTTCTTGATGTTGTTGGTTTTGTTGTTATATATTCTGCTCTTCAGGCTAAGCTTTGGATGCGTTCTTTAAGCTATCAGTATTTGGCATCGACCTCAAAGTTTTGAAAAATAATAATAATAATAAAACTAGAAGTTCGCATTTTAGAAGAAATGATTAGTTCTTACTTTTTTTCTATTTTTAATAGCGAAGTTTTCAAAATTCACTGTTAAAAAATTTAAAAATTTGAAATAATTATTTTGGACATTTTTATTCTTTTTTGAAATTTTAATTATTAAAAATGGATCCAATACAATTGCATTATTAAATTCTCTAACATATCATTGTTTAAAATATATATTTTTTTAATATTTTCTCCCAACTATTACTATTTTCAACATTTAAAACAAATAAAAATTCTTTCTTATAAAAATTGAAAAGTTTTGATTTTTTTTTTTTTGAAAATTGTTAAAAAAAATATTTTTTGTAAAAAAATTTATTTATAGCTTCTCTGGGAAGAATATACCGGCAAACTTTTTTATTGACATTCTATTATGGCAATTTTTCAAACGGAAATAATTCTTTAAGATTTGTTTTTTCTACGTCTCATTTGAAACAGGAAGATGATAAAAATCTCTAACTTAAACGAGGCCGTTGCAACAAGTCTTGCCGAAGACATAACATATTCTTTGTTTTTCTACAGAAAACTGAAAATTGAATTATCATTATGCATTTTCATTAATGAAATTCATAGAGAGGGAGAGAGCGCGCTAGCGAGACGAGGACCTTCAACCTTGTACGCAATTTTTATTATTATTACTATTATGATTATATTAGGTTTGATGACCCAGACATGGACACTTGCATCCTCGTTTAGACACGTCTCACAACACAACATCCCAACCCAACCAGACCAGACATTTCCATTGTCTGTCCACACAAAATGTATGTAATATATGTGTTGTTTGTTGCTGTATTTTTAAAAATATTTCTTATGGTGGTTACAAACAAGTAGTAATATCTTATTATGTAGATCTTTTCTTATGGCAAAAAAAACATTAGACAATTGTTACACAAATTAAACAAACATTTTCCATGTCATTTTCCAGTTAGCGACAGTTCCCCTGGTGTTTGCAGACGGCAGACATCAACAATCAGCTAGCTGGCTGGCCTTTATGATATACGGGTAATATTGCAGTATTCGTTGTTGTTGTTGCATTTTTTGTTTTCAATTGTATGTCTGGCGGGCAAAATGTAGAGTGTAAAGTGTTCACAGCTTGATGTCCAGGCAGATGATAGGGGAAATGTTAAAGTGTGTATGTTTGTGTGTATGTTGTGCCTGTGGTCTAGGCCAGCAACACAAACAGTGTTTGGTTTCTGTTGCAATATTTGGCTAAGTGTTTGGTTATAGGAATTTAAACGTTTTTAAATTACTTAAGCCAGCTATGCAATATATTGCTATCTCTCTCTCTCTCTGTCTCTCCTTCAATCTATCTTTCTATTTTACAAAAGAAAATATTGAATGAAAAAATTTCAAATTTTATTTTCAACAACGTTTCACATTATCACCATTCAAGTATTGAACGAAAAAAAAAATAATTTCTCTCGCTCGTTGATTACAGATTTTTTGTTAACGATATCAAAATCATGTTCGTTTTTTTGGCTTGCGTGTACGCAATTTCCTTGCCACCATGTATCCCATTCAACAACAACAACAACCAAAATGAAAAAAAAACTCAAAGATATGACTTCTGTTTTTGCAGTAAATATTGTGTTAAACACTGATGTTGTTGTTCGTTCTTATTGTTTGTTGTGTATATGGTGTTGTTTTCCAAATGGTGTTGTTGTTCTTGTTGAGATTTAATATCAGACATTTAGTTAAGGTTGCACGTACAAGCTTTTGAAATGCTTTTGCTGTTTGGTTGTGTTTTTTGTGTTGTTGTTGCCTCTTGAGCAGAAAATTTATATTGAAAAAGGTGTGATAAATTCTGCTTATATTTTCTTTTCCCGGCAGGAAGGCAGCCGGGCAGCTAGCATTGATTGGAAAGAATACAAACAAGCCATCTAAATCATGGGGGCAAATCATGGATATTTGCTACCGATTGAATTTCACAAAAAAATGCGAAATGTTTTGTACATTGCAGCGGAAGCTGGTTTGTGCAAATGATAAAGTGGTTAAAATGTTCATATTTTTTATTTGTTTCTTTTTTTAATATTTATGGGCGTTATTAACAAAATATTATAGCCATAAGGCAAGTACCATTAATTTAAAAAAAAATGAATAAACAGGAAAAATGAAAAAAAAAAAAAAATATTGAACCAAAATATTTAAATGTTTGGAGAAAAACAAACACTTTTAATGTATTATTTTGGATCAAGCTACAGTCGAACGTCCCTAAGGATATCTAAGATAATCGCTGTAACAATGTCTTTATCTTTCAGGTTTTTTCTTTTCGAAATAATGGTGCTGCGAGTTATGGCGTTCGACCGTATTTCAAAAAAGTAAATGCTACTCTCCGAATTCCCCACTCCAAAAGAGACAAAAATTGATGTGCATTGGATTTTCATTTTTTTTTTCACCAAGCCTCTAAAAAATGAACAAAGCATTTCAAAGTTAATAACTCAATTTTATGCTCATCTAAATATCCCCACCTCATCCTAGCATTAGGCGACCCCTGCTGCCCCACCCCCAGAAAAAACGCGTACACTTCTTTAATATATGCTTGATAAGTATCTATTCTGTTGACACTGGCACTTCATAACTAATTAATTTGGATAATAAATATTTGTATATCATGAGGCACACAGACGGGATTCAGCCTTAAGCTCATCACCAGCACCCCCACTACTGCCACCCTCATAGACATTGCCGGCGATTATAAATCATTCTGCGCCGTTTTATGCCACCATATAATTAGTCATTTAAAAAATGAAATGAAATAAAGGCAAACTGTAAAATTTCAGTTGCCCCACAAATTTGTGTGTGGTGGAGGGGAGGCATGTAATATTTCCATTCCGCCTGGAAATGTTACAATTTTTCATTAACACATCAACAGCAGCAGCAATTGTAACAACGACACACTCCAACAATCCAGTGGCGGCAACGGCGGCGGCACACTACATCATTATCAAAATGTCAAAGAGACTTAAAGAAGTCATTTCTTTGACATTATATGTCACTCCAAAGTGACAATGCCGACATAGGTGATATAAATGAATTGAGGAAGATAGTGAAAAACTCAACAACAACAAAATAATAATGTCTTTAAACAATTTTTTCCGGCATTCATTCTCCATGATTATCCATCCCATGGATTGGGAGAAAGGCCTAGTCTTTTGAAAATAATTTCGGAAAATACCCCCATATGGCAATGGGAACTGTCTGTTTCAATTGAAATGTATTTTTTTGAATTGCTGCCTTGATGAAGATTTTTCATTTAAATATTTATTGTGGTTGTTTTTGTTTTCCTTTGCCATATTAAAGCCCTATTAATAAATTTGTCAACACAACAAGCGGTGACAGCATGTGCAGCAGCAGCAATACCAAAGGCAACACATGTGTTGTTACAAGGGCCTAGAATTCTGTGAAGTGGATGACTGGCTGGCTGGTTCACTGCTTGAATATCTGTCCGTCCGTCTGTCTATGTTTATGGGCAAACATTCTTAAAGATCATCTGTGGCTGTGGATATGCCTTCAAGTGCCCATGCTTTGGTTTCTTTTTCCGTGTGTGGAAATTATGTTATTTTTTAACACTTTCTTTGGGAGTTTATACAAGAAGAGGAAAAAACAATACAAAAAGTAAAAAAAAATCGAAGAAAACACCACTTAACGCTTTCGAATGTGGCGCCCCATATTGTTGGTTAATATAGACATTTCTAGTTGGTAGAGTATTGGCCGTTGTCATAATTCTATCAACACTTTAAGATGTGCCATAACCCTTAAGTAGAAAAAAAATAGTAAAGAAAACGCCTGATGGTGATACAAAAACAACAATATAGCCAATATCTGTGGTTCTGTGAACTTTTTTTGTTAACAAAGCAAATAAACTTTTTTTTCCTATTACAAAATGAAAAGAAAAACCACTTGAATTGCCTCTGCATGATGAACAAACAATATCAACATAATATCTATGTCTACGTGGTGCCTCTGTAATAAACACATTGTATGTATCTATATTTTTTTGTTGTGGCCTTAAGGGAGCTTTTCCTGGAATCAACCATAATACAAAAAAAACCCTAATGAAAACATACCCTTAACAGAAACTCCTCCCTTTTTCGACATATTGTTCGTTGTTTTGTTTTCATTTTTTATTGTTACGTTGTTATGGTTGGCGCCCAACGTACATTCATACATACATTACAACTAACCACCATTTGAACATGAAATGACGCTCCCTTTTCTTTCCATATTTGGCAAAAAAGTTTTCCCCTGTGTTATTTAACAGTCAATATAGTGAGTAGTGATTTGTCAATATTGAAAAGAAATACAAGAAGAGGAAGAAAAAAATCATTTGGTAAAAAATTGTCAAGCTAATATTTACATAAAACCAAAAAAAAATTGTTCTGCCATAAAATGTAAAGGAGGGTAGGATATGAATGAAGTAACAGAACAAGTTGTTGATTTTATCCTATATGATTTTCCCAAAGGCCACATGATTGTTTCTTTTTAAGAATTTCCTAAAATAAATTTAAAATAATCCTTGTAAGCTGTGAGGAAAAATTCTAAGCCGTCGCTTTACAAAAACTTATAAAAATAGTACGGATTTACTTCATAAGGTTTGAGAGAACTTGGCGCCCAATAAAATTCAGTTTTAAATAAGATACAATAAAGATAAACAAAGTTGAGAGAAATTGGCGCCCAATTAAATTATTATTATCCTTTAGGACGTAGTTATGGTATTACGTAGGTTACATATAGAAATTATCTAACATTTTTTTGCGATTTTATATGCTCAAAAAAATTCTTCGAAAATATTTTGTATCCCTATTTTCTATTTTTTTTTTCTAATTAACAACAAATTTTCCTTGGTTTTCACTTAAGAGTTTTCAGTGAAAACAATTGTGGTCATGTGTTTGACTCGTGCTGTTTGTCTAAGTGGTTAAGACGAAAAATTTTGTAAAAAGGAACAACATGTGTCATCCTGCATTAACGGTTTCCAATGAAACCAATACATATAAATTTTTATACTCAAAATAAATTTCAAAACTAAAAATTGTGTTCCAAATATTTTTGGTTCGAAAAATTTGTCTTTAAATTTGACAGCAATTTTTTTTGTTATTGATTCTTTTTTTTTTTGCACAATTTAAAATACAAATCCAATTAATTCATAAATCACAGTATTTGTTTTAATTATGGCTTTTGTTTGAATGATCGAATACAACAATTAAATGACAACGAAATGTGACGTCTTTTTTGGATTTCAAAGCAAAACAATTTTTCTTTAATATTAAGTTTTTAGATTTTATTCCTTTCGCTTAATATTGAAATATTTTTTTTTTATTTTTGTATTTTAGTTATTGATTTCAATTTTATTACATTTCTTTTCTGAAAGCATATACATTTTTTGTTGCATATAATTTGTTATGCAAATTTGTCTATTTAGTATTTAATGTGTTTTTTGTTTTGTTTTCTGTTCAACACTAATTCTGTGCCATGAGATTGAAGCTAAGTTTTATTACCATATAACAGTGGCTTGATGTTTGTGTTATGGAAAAGAAACTGGTTTTTCAATAAAAGAAAAAAATTTAATGATAATGATTGAATTTGGGTATGGTTAAACAATTAATATATCAATGAGATAAAGAATGCCAGTCATTTTCCTGATGAGTTCACATACATTAATATTGTAAAGTGGACTTTAATTATTTTTTTCATATATTTTATGAACACTTACATGGATTTTATGAAACATATTTTCCCAATACAATTAATAAGAATGATAAATGAATAAACCGCCATTTTCCTGATGTGCTCACAAGAATTGCTATCGAAAATTTAATTCTATTTATTTGTTTATATAATTTATGAACAATTTTCATGGATTTTATGAACCTCATTTTTGCAAAAAACCAATAAATGGAAATATTGCAATATGATGCATACATTTTATGAACAAGTTTTTATGAAACTTGTTCCAAAACTAAAAAAAATCACTTAAATCTTCTGGTATGTGAAAGAAATTAAAATAGTTGTGCATAACAAATATGAACAATTTCGTATTTTCTATGAATGCCAAATCCCATTGTTTTAATAAATTAATAGAAAAAGTAAAATTAAACAAATAAATAAAACTTACCGGATTTGCATAAAATGGCGGCTGTTCAGCACCCATACCCGATAAATACGCTGACATACCCTCAGGGTAAACACCCATGGGTACACCACCGGGACCAGCAACTAAACCGCCAGCGGCAGCTAATCTCTGATAATTTAAAATGTCATATTGGCAGGAGCATATTGTTTGGCCACTAACCGGATCGGTATATATGGTACGACCCGTATCACAGCAACGATTACCCGAACCGGGACCGGCGGAACCAGGCGCACCCGGTAATGGTGGTGGCGGTGCAGCGCCCGTTGAACCTGGCGCCAAAGGGCCGGGTAATACTGATGTGGGTGCTTGTGGTGGTTGTGGACCAGCGGCAGCCGATCCGGGTCCCGTTGACGATAACACCGACGACGATGTACTGTATGGTGTGGCGGGGGAAATGGAACGCGCGCCCGGCGGTACTGTTGAGGTAACGGCCATTGCGTTGGCAACTGAGGGCGTGGTTAGAGAGGCGGTTGAAGACGGCACGGCGGCAACAACGGCAGCAGCGGCTGCTGCAGCGGCGGCGGCGGCAACAGCTGTGGCGTTAAGTGTCAATGAAGACGCCGACGTATGATGTGAGGCGTTGTGACTTGTTGTGTTGGAAGCTGATGTGCTTAGATTTGTGGGTTGGGTTTGCAAGGCTTGCTGCTGCTGTTGTTGATGCAGAGGTGTTTGCGCTGAGGTGGGTGATGTGCTTGGTCGAGTTGAAACGGCATTCTGCAAAAAGAGAAAATATACAAACATATTATTATGGTAAAGATAAAAACGTATATTTTTTAATTAACTACTACACTAGGCTTATCATGGGAAGCATATCAAAACTGTATTGATTCTTTTGCCGGAAAAATATAACAAAGCCGCTGAAAGCTACTTAAATAAATACTCTACAACTATCAATTGTTTTAATCGCTGACAATTACAACAACATTGTGGTTTATTTACATTTCATTTTTTTATTTATTTACATTACATTTGTTTCATGTAAACCGCCGACTCGTCATGTTCATATGTCAACAATCTCAAACCAACAACTACAACAAACATTAACTCAGTTACAACATGAGACTCCCTTTTGTACACTCAAATCAAAGATTGACATCGATAATTTTAAATTACACAAGAATTGTTGTCCATTTGTGTGAGGTCTCAACGTTAAGCGACGGAAAATATTTGATTTCAATAAACGATATAAAAAAAGGTAATAAGTAGCCATTTGACTTCTTGATTATGATGGTGTCCCCCCACACCGGTGTCATCTGCGTAGAAAGACAACTTTTTTTTCTAGAGTAGTTACATTTTATGTGATTGTTATCAGAGTATTGTTTTATTGGTTTGATTTTCTTTTTTTGGTTGTTACAATTTTATAACTTCGATTTTAGGTCTAGTTTTTTTGACATTTGTTGTATAGGTTTTCTATTCTATTTCTTTTTAACAATAATCACCGGCGTTTTGTTTATATTTAATCAATACTCAGATTGTTATGATAAGCCGAATTCTTTTACTTAAACCCTTTTGGTCGTAGTTGGGTGTGTGTGTGTGTGTGTAATCACAGTACAAGCAGCCGCTAAATGTTTACACACCGAAAAAGAGTTTCCAAAACAAAAAAGAAAAAATGCCGCCTTATTATTAATCAGTTACACATTTTGTGTCACATCATCAAACCTTTTTTGTGTTTGGTATTTTTTTTTAGTTGCAAGAAAGGCAATACCCCAAGGGAATTGATTTGTTATAATTCGTTTCGTTTTTTTATTTTATTTTAAGGCCATTTGCCCTGTCTTTATCAGTAGTAGTGGTATTTATACAAGATTCTATTTTATTGATATAATGAATTAAATAAATAATTAAACAGTAGTTGAAAAACTTGAAGTAGACACTGTGTCTGCCACCGTGGTAGTTAAATGAGATTTTGGGAAATTTCAAAGGCAGGTGTTTTCAAGAAAAACATTTTAAAAAATATATGGAATTTCTTTCCTATAGTTATTAGTAAGGTGGAAGGATATTTCGCCCACCTTTTGTTAATAAAACAAACTAGCATTTAATTTGCGTAGATAAAAGAATATATGAAAGAAGTTATTACGATGTTATGTTAGGTGCAAGCGATTTTGGAAAAAATTAAAATGCTAATGTTAAAAAAAAAATCTCAAAAATATTGGATTTTTTTTTTTTTTTGCAATTGCTATTCGTCTGGGAGATTGTTATTCTGCTTTTATAAAACAACATTCTATTTTATATAACAAATAATTATAAACCATGTAAAATTAGGTCCAGGCGAACTTTCTATACACTCCATCAGGAGGTGCCTTGTATATGCTTATATAAAAATAAACCTATATTTTACCATCTAATAAAATAGAATACCAATTTCAAGACTCTGAGGTTCCTCTCAGGTGCCCTATATTGAATAATACCTTAAAAATAGACCTATGTATATTTATAATATTAAAATTTTTTACATATATATATATATATATATATATAGAAGAATTTAATTTAAAAAACAAAAATTAGACCCTTACATACTGGGTAACATTTTCGGCTCCCGAATATGTCGGCCCAAAATTTGAAAAATATTTTTCTTTGAATTTTAAATTTATTTGTTATACGATTTTCTGAACTTAGGTTTACTAATTTGCCAACATAAAATAATGTCAATTGCTAGATTTTTTTGGCAACCTTTTACAATTAGTATCTATTTTAATTACGAAAAAACAAAATAAATACCAAAATTACCAGGACTAGAGTAAGGTAATGTTGTGTTTTGGTATTTGATAAAAAAAAACGATTATAGTGAAACCAAAACAAAAAATGTTAACAACAACTATTTCCAATGTTGAAATGCTACTGTATCCAATTTTTGCTGTTGCCAAACATGACAATCATGTTGTTGATAGTTGTTGAAAAAAAAAACAGAACAATTTTTTTTTTTTTTTTTTTTTTTTTTGAGATTGACAACAACTACGCATAGAGTATCGAATGAAATTGAATTGCAAAGACATGTCATTGGATGTTAGATAGAATATTATTGTTGCTGCTATGTCTTCAATACATATCTATAGATAATAAAAATAAAAAACAGTAGCCAAACAACAAAGTAATTTCTCGCTATTACAATTTAACTCATGTTGTCGAAGAAACAAAAATTGCACAAGCATGTGATAAGGACAACAATAACGACAGAAAAACAAGTTTAATTATTTCCAATTTTTATCAAATTAGAACAACCTACACAAATGGGGCGTTTGCGAATGCCAAGCGAACAAAAAAAAAAAAACTAATACAAAAAATTGCACAAACCCCCAGCAATAACATGGACACACAAATATTTGTAAATGTGTGTGTGTTATTGTTATTTTTTAAAGTGTTATTTAACCATTGTTTCTTTGTTTCATATGATAAATACATAATTTATTGACAAATTCACAGTTCCGCCATTTTGTTGTGCTGACAACAATAAACAAAAAAGACATATTGGCCATTTGCTAAATGTTTTTTATTTTTTCATTTCTTTTCTATAGATTTGTAAATATGTATATGTATAGCACAAGTGTTGAAATATGTATGTATATTCAAATTACATTTTTTAAATGCCATAAAACTGAAAAGGAATTGTTGTAAAACCCGTAACGTTTACAAATAATTTAAATTTTTTCAACTCTTTTTTTTCCTAGAAATAAAATTCCATTGAAGCCAATATTGTTCGCCGCCTTTGATAAAGATTGACATGGCTTGTATCATTGAAATCAAACATTGTCGTTATCATTTACTATTCACGTGTAGTCTCTTGAAGTGAAAGGAACTTTTTTTTGCAATGGTGTGATTTTCATTTTCGGGGATTTTTCCCCCAAAAATATGACTAACTTTGCAATTGAAATTAATACGTCACTGTTGAATATATTTTTGTCTTTGATTTTGTTTTATATCAAGATTTAGATAAGGATTATACCAAAAATAGTGACAACTGTTTTGCTGTATAATTAATGAATATTTTAATAGATAATAATCGAAGAGGGTGATTTTTTTGTTAAATATATTATTGCAAACAGCTCTATTTTTAGAACTAATTTTTAGCCTGCACATAAACAAATATCAAGATTGAGGCCTAATTATTAACATGAATTCAAATGGAAATATTAAACTACAATCGATCTGCCATAACTCGAACCACCATTATACCAAAAAACAAACAAACAAAAAACAAAAACTTCGACGAGGGCCCCGGGTTATAGAATGGATTATGATTTGCCACCATTGTGACTTCAAGAACATTCGACTTATGGAAGTTCGCTTGTATTACATAATACACATAGTAGAGTTAAACATTTTTCGCCGCATAATATATATATATATATATATATATATATATATACCTTCATAATTTATATCCATATTGCATTAATTGTCAACTTTTCAATAAATTTATTTACAGTTCTTAATCTATAAATTTAAATTTTCAAAATATACACACCATTACTAAACACACACCACTGTCATTACTGTGCACTGTCATTTAATTTGTAAATATGTATATAATTGTGTTGTTAACAAAACTGTTGTAATAATTTTTTGGTAGATTGCAAAAAAACAAAAAACACTATTTTTTTCTTTTCTAAGTTACACTGGTCCTTTGTGGCAAGGATGATACCGTTGCTTTTGTTTTAATTTTATTTAGCAAACAAAACAAATGATGAACGTTATAAAAACAACATTTTGTATTTTCGTAATTTTTCTTGCTAACTTTAATTCACTTTTTCATTTTGCCTTTCAAGCATATATTTCAAAACTTTTTATGCCGGCGGTAAATCCACAATTATTTTTTCTTTCTTTCGTTTTTTTTTTTTAACTCTAGGTTACACTAATATGTATTTTCATTTATTGTTAATATCTTTGGTTAATAATGTGCTCGTAAGATTTCAAAACGAATGATTATTATTTTTTGCCGGTATTTGTCTCGATATCCAAAAACTTGATAGTTGTCGAAAGAAATTCAAACGAACGCTATTGAATGGAAAGAAATTCAAACGAACGCTATTGAATGGATTTTTTGTGCGACGGCGGCGGCGGTACGTACAATTTTTTTCTCGGTTTATTTACTTTTACGCTTAGCGGTGTGAGTGTGTTGTCGATTGGGTATTTTTTTAATTCTACTGCTGCTTTAACTTGCTTCTCTACTTCTCGGTGTCTCGGCGTGTAGAAAACAAACGGACGACACGAACGAACAATCTGCGTAACAGTCAAAAGTAGACTAACATGGGTTACTTGAGCATGTACAAAGTGGTGGTGTACAACAAATGGGAATTACACGACAAACACGACACACAACACATATACAACAACATCGACATCATCATACGCCGTACAACACAACCAGCAGCAGCAACAAAAACAACGACAGCAGGGCAGAAAACAACAATAATAATACGGTGAGCAGTGAGCAGCAGATACAATCCGATGAAGGTACATGTACATGAGGGACATGGATACAAACATGTATACCCACAACCACCACCACCAACACCACACAACCATCATCGGTAGCCCTCATTCATCCATCCATCCGTCTATCCATTCACACCACCTTTACCAATACCATTGCTGTTACTCAAAACAACAAAATTTTCATGCTCTGGAGAGCAAGAAACTCAAAAGAAAGAGAGAGAGAGAGAGTCTCTGTCTGTGCTAACGGCTGAGCGTTAAGGCAAAACAACACCCCAAAAATGTAAACATTTCTCAAGGAAGACAGAGTATCTGTGTGAGTGTGTGCGTTTGTGTTTATTGGAAATTATCTCTGTTCATTCAGAGATACTATTATTGAGACAATAATGAGAACAGTCGTCGAAATCGTCATCATTGTCTTCGTGTTTCTAGTAGCCTTGTTTTTGTTTTATTGTTGCTTTCTGATATGGTTCTGGTTGTGTTTGAACATTTGTTGTGACGACTTAACGACAAATACTACAAGCCATAGATACGTCTACTAACGGATCGAATGGAGTACATGAAATGTGCTCACACCAAAGTGTATTCTGTTCGACCAGAAATAAAAAAGAGCAACTTTACGAACGGGGAAAAAATACAATTGAGAGTTTTATACAAAGAGCGACTTTGGCAAAGAGATACTCTCGTATGTTTTTCGTTGTTGTTTTTCTTGCCTGAATTTCAATTCAATTTGTATCTTGTAGATAGGTTTTGTATTGTGTTAAGTGGTGGTTTTAAGTATCTTTTTTCTGTTGTTGTTGTTGGCGTTTGTTCGTTATGTTCCCATTAAACACACGTACACAATAAGACAAGCAAACGGACAGTTGCATACACACACACGCACAAACACACATTCGCAAACGCTGATACTAGCGTACAACTAATATATTTCTAAGATACTTGCATTTTTGTTGTTGTTGGAGCTGTTGGGTTAATAATAAATAATCAACAGCAAAGCAGTAACAACATATTGATACTACATACAAATGATGACGATTTTGTTGTTGTAGTTGCTTGGTCACTTCGTTGTAGTTTTTGTTTGCTGCTGTTGTCACATTCTACTTTATTATATGTTCATTCATGCTTAAAAACTCAATGGCTGGCTAACTGACTGAACACACAACTGACTGGATAGCTGGCTAGCTAGCTGGTTGGATAAGTGTCTTCTTATCATGGCTGTGTTGTTGCCGCTTTTTTTTTTTTTTTGTTGAGCCATGAGATCGGTGAAATAATAATGAATAGAATGACGGTAGATGGACATGCGAATTGAACGGTTAATATTGAATAGATGTATGGTGGGCTTACACACACACATATATATATATATAAAACCAAAATAAAATATTAAATTTTTCAATCAAATATTTTTTTTAATTATTATTATTACTATTTGTTGTGCCTATAATAGCATAATTTAAAAATGTATATGTTTTTTTTTTTGTTTTTCTTTTTTTGAAACAATTTGTAATTTAATGTGTTGAATGTATTACAAATGAATAATTGATTGGAATTGCACGAAATAAACACAGTAAATAAAGTAGTATGCATGGCCCAAATATCAGGTCATCCAGAAGTCGAAGTTGTCAGAAGTTGTTGTTGTGGCGAAAATACCTTTTAAAAAATGTCGATTAATTTTGACATTTTAAGCGCGCACAATAAATGTTGAACACAGTACTGCTTTTATTTTTGTAAATAATTGCTTTTTCACCAAATTGGGTAAACATTTTGTATATTTTAGGGCAAAATTTTAAACAAATTGAAAATTATTTCGATGCCTTTGTCAAATATTTCATATATTTTGACAAAAAATTTAGATATCAGCTGCACTTACTGGATGACCTTTATATATATACAGTGGTGGTCACGTAATTAAGACATTTACTGTGGTAAAAAAATTTTTGATCAGCCCTCGATTCTTTTGAAGTATTTTTATTTTTTTTTTTTTAATTCAGAACACTTCGATATACTGCACTTAAGAGATTTAGAGTGAAAATAGAAAATCATTGCATGCAATTTTTCCATAAATAACGGTTTATATGAAAATGCATCGGCTTTGAAGTGGCCACATAATTAAAACATTGTGTGAGTTTTTACTTTTTATTTTTAAAAAAATTCTTTAATTTTGTTAAATTATGTAAACTAAGCAATGTTAAAATAATTTACAGATACAATTTTTTGAAAAAAATCTGTAAAATCAACCAAAAATTTGTTTAGTACACCTAACATTCAGAAAATCACCCTTATTATAGAAAATAAAGGTACGAATGCACTAGAAATTGCTAGAATTACTAGAAAACAATAAATAATTCTCAAAATAAATAAATATTTGAAATAAAAATTCAAAAAAATGAGAATTAGCCTAAAGGAACGATTCAATTTCTATAGCCTTTATTGAAGAAGGCCGGAATATTTTTGCAGTATGTGAGAAAATATCGATTGATATTGACATTTTTTAAATCAAATCGATTGTTCGAGTAGTACAGAATACATTTAATCAAAAATATATATCCGTCACAACAAAAAAAAAAACAGAGGTCAACGCCTATGTTGACGAGTTAAAGTTTCTGGCACACAGCAGCATTTTTAATGCAAAAAAATAAATTTTTACAATTATCCATTTCAGCATGGAATTGGAATTCGACATTTGCCAAACTATGTTGTTAAACCAATATTTTTCTTTTCAGTTGAAAGGCTTGATATTTAAAAAAATGGATCGCTTAACTACCTCACAACGCATAAAAATAATAAAAACCTACTACAAAATGGTGATTCAGTCACAGTCACATATTGAGCCTAAAGAAGGAGATTATGATTTATTTTATCCTCCAACCACAGTTATGCTGAAAAAAACTAAATTGTTATATATTACATTCCGCTGTTTAATCCGAAGGTGTGATTGGGCGTTACTTCTGCGTCAATTTGGAGCGTTGTGGTCATATGATAATCGATTTTTTGCCAGCTGATAAAGAATTCAACTTGGAGAATATGTGGTTTCAACATTTTGCTTTATTTCCTCGTCGTGGCGATATGAATTGGCTACCATGAAATAAAAAATAACAAAATAACTCATCCTATAACTCATTATAACATATTATAATTAAATATTATTGTGACATAAAAAAATTCAATTGTAATAGAAATATATATCGGTATCTACATAGTGGCACGAAAACAATCAAAATCTTCTAGGAACCAAATCGCAAAGCCATTGTGGTATTATCGCAGTTACAAGAATATACTAATAATATACGCCCCGTCAACCAAACAAGCGGGCCAGTGGAGCTTGCCAGCGAAATTGTTAGGTGACTACTATCTCCGACTAAAATCACCACCCAATAGATGAAGAAAAGAGGAAAAAAAAACTGGAAGTAAATGAAGAAAATGAACCAAACCAAGTGGAGAGCAGAGCAAAACCGAATAAAATAAACATGACGAACATAGCGAACTAATACTCCAACAAACAAAAACCAGCAACAACGACATAGTCATAGTCAATAACAGCCATTTTTCGAGTTGTTAAGTTAATTTTTTCATGTTTTCTTTCGTGCAATAGCCAGCCAGTCAGCCAGTCAGTCAATCGTTTATGGTATTGTGTGGCTCTTGCTGCCGTTTCCACTGCTTCCAATGCTGTTCCTTGTGTGTTACTATAGTGATATGTGTATGGGTAAGTATGCTGGTCCTACTAGCCAGCAAGCAGTCGTCTTGCTGCATGTACATAATGTTCTCTTGTATTGTATTGTGTTATGTTGTATTACTACAAAACATCTACAACTACTACTACTACTAAGGCCACAGCCACCACCAAATCATCTTAACAAATATTACAGCAGCAGCAACAACAACAACAATTAGACAAATAAACAATACACGGGGAACGAAATAAATACACGGTCATCATCATCTGAACATCACCGTTTCTGTCGACGACGTCATATTGGTAGCATAGCTCTAACTCGCTCACACCAATGCCGCGACATTGGCCAACTGAGGTGTTCTCTCTTTCTTCGTTTGTTTGTTGACCGTAACAACAACGCCCCAAATGAATTTGATGAGT